AATGCATCCGTGCTATCTACGGGTCTGTTCACCTTGGTTTGGTACCAAGCCTCTGCCTCTGCCCGGCTTCTGTTAGCGATGTCTTCATACTGAGCTTTGACTTCGGCTATGATGCTGCTGAGGTCCAGGTCCCGGTTGTTGTCCATCGACAGAATGACAGCGGTGTCGGACACTTGTGCGCTGAGCTGAGCCAGCTCCTGCGAGGAAGCACACGGGATCCCGGCCAGCTGCACTTACCTTTTCAAATGCCATGAACGATGGCAGTTCTGGACCTCCAACAACAGGTTGTTGACCCTGTCCAACAACAGGACAGGAATCAGGGGAGGAGGGTGTCTGTACCGCATCGTAGAGGGCTCGGAGGAAACTGAGTTCATCGGTCAGGGCGTCCACCTTCGCCTCCAGCTCCACCTTATTCATGTAAGCAGCATCCACATCCTGGAAAAAAGCAACCAGGGGGACATCTGCAGCACCTGGCATCTCTTCTTTAGCCAAGAACTGGCCAAGCCTGGGGGTGAGGCTGCATCCACTTCCACTGCTGGAGAAGCCATGCTTGGCACATCCCCTGAGCAGAGCACCAAGAGGGCATCTCTTGGCCAAAAGAAGGGCTGTGTGTGACTTTGTCAGCGGGTAAGGAGGGGGGTGCCTTGGTACCTGGGGTTCCCGGCACTATGGACCATCGTTGTTTCTACATGGTCTGTTTTGCCCAGGCGAGCATGTGTGTATGGTGTGGAACAGGAGCGGGGCAAGAACTTCAATCCTTCAAGCCCCTCCATTCCTTTCCCCCAAAACCACAACCCAAATGACAGGTTTTAAAGGATAAGGAAGCAGCTCCATGAGATATCCCATCCTTCAGGGGTATCCTGACATTCCTGACAATCCTGCACAGGACATTCCCAGCCTGTGCAACGGTCAGGGTTAGCTCAGTAGCCGTAACACCTCCTGTCTCACCCACCTTCTTTAGCATCACGAACTCATTCTCTGCTGCTGTGCGTCGGTTGATTTCCTCTTCATATCTGCAGGGACAAAGGGAAGGACGTGCTGGGTCATACCTCGGTAAGCAGAAAAGTTGTGCAGGTAGGACTGCGAGGTTATCTGGGCTGGGTTTCCAAATCAACCTCCTGGAAACTGCCCAGCTCAAGTTTGTGAGAATCCTGTTTCTCAAAGGATGGAAATGACATTTTGACATAGTGCAGATGGAACAAGGAGGGTAAAACTGGTTTAGATTATTTTCCTTTGCAAGTGTCATCACAAGTTGTTGTGTCCTGGCCGAATCTGCATTTTCTGTTTGGAAAAATGTCGAAAAACTTTCTGCTGCTGTCAAGGAAGATGTGTTCTGCAGGGAGACACACCTCACAGGAGTGGTATCGTAGAGGGGGATTAGTTAGGTACTATGTTATGAGCTAGAGCACAGACTACAGATACTTTGTTCCCCTTTCCTGTAGAAAGCTTGATGAATATCTCAGGCTAGATGTTTGACTTTCAGAAAGATAAATTTAAGTGAGATTCATCCTACTGCCTAATGCTAAGCTGAACCCTTTGCATCCCGTTTCACCCCAGGGTGCCTGGATGTGCCGCTAACAGGCACTCACTTGTTCTTGAAGTCCTCAACGATGTCTTGCATGTTCTTCAGCTCCCCGTCCATGCGTCCTCTCTCGTTGAGCAGGTTGGCCAGCTGCCGTTTCAAGTTGTTGATGTAAGCCTCAAACAGTGGGTCCAGGTTACTTTTGCCTGAGTTGTTTTTTTGGCCCTGCTCCTGCAGGAGGGTCCATTTGGTCTCAAGAACTTTGTTCTGCTGCTCCAGGAAGCGAACCTGGGCATTGGGAAGCAGAAGAGGCTTAGAAGAAGATACCTGTGAGCATGCTGATGGCCAATAATCAGTAAGTGGGACCGATGCGTAGCACAAACCAAGGAAATCCCAAACCAAGAGTATTAAATCCGGCTGAGAATATCCTCCAAATTATCTAGGGCTGTGTTGGTCCATCCAGTAGCTCAGCAAATCTGCCCTCAGTGGACAGTTCTCTTTAGGGAAAATTTAATTTAGCAAGCCAATGAGCAATCATTAGAAAAATGTAGGTTCAGCTCTTTCATCACTTGCTTTCTTTAACATCCTTTGGTTTGTCTTTCTTTGTAAGAGATATTTATCTTGCTTTATTAAACCTAAGATCTGAGCACTACAGGTTAAAAGACAAGCACTTAATTGCATTTCCTTTTGCTCATATGTGCGACGTATTTACCCAAGTAAAAGCCAAGGAAGGACTTAAGTTGAGTCAATATACAAAGGACTTTAGCTTGCAGGCAAGAAAGCAACAAGGACTGACACATCTGCTGGGATTCCCTACAGAGAGAGCTGGGTTAAACAGCTAGGTCTGGACCTGACACTAGCTTACTCCGTGCCAGTTAATATATCTTATTTCTCAGGCACAAAACCTGGTTCTAATCCTCTTATTACTAGTTTCTAGTCTAGTTTTCTGCCTTGTAACTGTTTAGAAGAATGTTCTTTTTCGATTACTTTAATGAAGACATGCAGATAGGAAATACACAGTAGACTGTACAATGAAGTCATATTTTTGTATCTACAAGACTGTCACGCTCCCTCTCTATCATGATTCCACAGCACTTGATGAAGTCTCACCTTGTCAATGAAAGAAGCAAACTTGTTGTTGAGGGTCTTGATTTGCTCCTTCTCATCTTTTCGCACCTGATGGATGTTTGGATCTATCTCCAGGTTCAGCGGTGCCAGGAGGCTCTGGTTGACAGTCACTTCTTGGATTGTACCAGCTCCAGGTGGGACACCACCAAATCCCGCTGGGTTCCTGCCAGCACCCAGCCCTCCGCTGAATCCTCCCAGGCCCCCTACTCCACCAAAGCCAAACCCTCCACCACCTCCCTGTCCACCACCAAAGCCAAGCCCACCAGCACCTCCACCAAGGCCATAGCCACCACCTCCACCACCGAGACCAAGTCCGAGACTGCCACCAGCTCCACCACCACCAAGTCCATAGCCGCCACCACCTCCCAGGCCAGAGCCACCTCCAGCTCCACTCCCAAAAGCAGCTCGGTAGCTGCTTCCGACACCGATGGATATCCTCTTGCTACCACCAAGATTGTAGAGGCTCCTGCTGCCAAAACCACCGCCACCACCTCCTCCAATGAGCCTTCCAACACCACCTCCACTTCCTCCAGATCGTGCCGCGGATATCGAACTGAAGCCAGCCCTGTTGCCACTCGGGATAATAGCTGAGGCAGTGCTGTAGGATCTGCCCCCACCTCCCGCTCTCATGCTGTACATTTGCCGGTTCATTGTGGCAGGAGACAACAGCCCAGCACTGGTGAGAAGCAGCAGACTGAGGGAGTGCAGCTCTCTGGTGGAAGGGAGTGCGGGACGCCCTTTTTATCCCTCTGGGGAGCTGGGCTTGGTTGCATGGAAGTCCAGTGATCAATTTAGTGCCTTCACGGTTTTGACGTGCCAGGCAGCCAGGTGTCTTACTGAAACTTGTTGAGCACTGATTGCACTCAAACACACCTATCGGAGCCGGTGCAAATCTGCTCAGCTAGAAGAGTTATCTAACTCCCTGATTTTTGGCAGGGAGAGCTCAACCTTTGTGCAAAGCCTTTGTATGCTTGCAGAGATGTATTATTTCATTTCCTAGCTGGGAAGCAAAAGAAAATAATTTTAAAAGGGTGAGAAAGGAAGAATAGCTACCCGGATACCCCTGTGATACTAATAAGATGCAGTAGATCAGTATAGAGCTTAGTGGAGAGCCCTCAGAATTAACTTGGGTGAAAGGCAGTGAGAATAAAATGTCTAAATCTGAGCAAAATTTTTCATGGGGCTCCTTCACCTGAAGGCAGAGTGTGGGTTGATGTTCATGAAGCCTGACATCTCTTTCAGGGCTCTCATTTATCCAGTCTGCCTGTTCGCACTAGCTAGGCAGAGACCGTCTTTCTGAGCCGGCTAGCCCGAAGAGGTCCTGATCCATTATTTTCCTCTGAGGCACTATATTTCAACGTCCTCTGAGGCACTATCTTTCAAATTCTGGCCATTTGGTATTAGGTATTTGGTCTATGGCAGGTTTCTTAGGCCTCCTTTCTAGAGATATTGGCATCTCCAGAGGACAACTCCATCCTACCCAGAGATTGCCATTGTAATGTCTCCAGCCAACTGATGATGCCATCGATGCATTTTCATCTTGATCGAAAAAGCATTTCAATGAAAGAGGCAGATTTTCTGAAAAACACTTTGCCCAGCTTTGTGGAGCGGTATTATTTACATGTTAACATTACGACGTAATCAGTCTTGAGTTTCTATCTCTTTGCAGCTGTGATTTCTTTTAAAGACCTTTGTACCTTTCCATTGGTAAAAGCAAACATTTAACCAGCATGAAAAATACTCCCACAAATTCTCCTTATTTTGCTTCCCGGAGAGTCCTTGGGAAAAAGAGCAACTTCTAGAGGGTATGGTGACATTTTCTGGCATCTCAGACTTTGTGGAACTGTGGAGTATTTTATACTTCATGTTTAAGAGCTCAGTTTGTTTTCAGCGTGTTGCTGTCCTGGTGGCATTGCCCATGCTGTACGCATGACTGGAGCTTAAACATATTTGTCGGACAGGACTCTACATGCCCTTCAAACTACATTCATGTACGCCAGTGCTACAAAACCATTAAGTACGAGCTAAAATCCCACTGGCATCTCTGGAAGAAAAATTAAGCCGGTGCTTCGTGTTCTGCCAAATACAGAAGACCAAATATCTGATTATCCCCAGAGAAATGCTGTCAGGCAGGCTCAAACCAGGAGAGTTGGGTCACTCAAACAGAATTTCCCATTGCAGTGTGAAATTCCCAGTTGGTACAGGTCGACTTGCTTCTCTTTGGAAAATGTTGGGCTGAATCTGCCTGGGATGTCACTTGAAATTCATAAACATCTATTGCCTTGATTATTTGCATAAAATTCAAAGCCCGGGTGCGATGGGAAAATGAGACTGTCTTCATGCTTTCTTGACCCCAGTAAAGGGAGATTGTCCTGAAGCTGACAAACGGGTTCAGATCAGATATTAGAGCTGAATGAATATAATGGGATTAAAGGTGGGGCTGCCAACAAGAAAGAGGGAATTGTCATTTTAGGCTCCCACACTCTTCTTCCTTCAGCCCACTCTCCACAAGGTATGCGAGCAATGCAAAGGTTTGGTGAAAAATGCACCATTTCTTTACCGGACTGGTTTATCGTGTGGATGAGCTGAGGTTTGTGGGCTCCGTACCCAGAGGCAGATGTGGCTTTTTGGTTCTGTCAGTTTGGATCAACTCTACTAGACTCTTGGATCAACTCTACTAGACTCTGTCGATCTACCAAGGGGGCATGTCCAGAGTGACACTAAGCAGGATTTAGCTTCCAAAATGCTCCAAAAAGTATGGTCCCGGCCTTTTTTCTCTCCAAAATAGCCCAATCTACAGGAGTATCTTCAAGCAGACAGCAGAAAACATGGGTTTTGCAATACTCAAGGGTTAAGAAGGGCTGGGATGATTAAAGGTATTCTCCCAGTAACGCAAGGGCTGCTGGGCTGCTTTGGTACCCTGGGGAGCCAGCTGGTTTTTGGTGTGCAGCGATTGTTTTGCAGGGAGGTGATCAACATAAATTATGAGCTGTTGGGGCAGTGGAAGCTTGTTGTTTGGGTGTTTCTACTTGTTATTTACATACAAATGAGATGAAGTCCGAGTTGTATGCATTGAGACAGAAAAGATGAAGATAACCCTTTTGAAAAACATCCTCTTCAGGTGGGTGGGTTTTGCCTTTTCAGCAAGGGCTGATCCATTTGGCTTTCACCACCTTCCCAGCCCAGACAGTGTTGCTAAGGCATGTCGTTAATTAAAAAATAATTAGTGATCTGCTCCCTGCTGATGATGTCCAATAAACCATCTTGCTTTCCATCAGAAAAGCACTGTGGATATGGGGAGCCTCAATCCACCACATTTGGCACAGCCTCTGCGCTGGGAGAGAAGCAGAGGAAGATGCTCAAGCCACGGTGGATCCTTCACCGTCATGCTGGTGTGGACAGACCGAGCCTGGCCGGGTGGTTGGACTCATCCTCCAACTGTGGAGAGGTTGGGACAGACAAGCCATGAGTCAGCAGGGAAGTCTAGGAAGTGATGTGGGACGTTGGGGAATAAATTACACCGCCCGGTCCTCGGTGTACCTTTCATGGGGTAAATTAACCTGCCCACGCCACGCGCTGCTTCCAGACTGGGTGAGGAGAGACAGATTTCTCCAAAGGGCAATTCTGAGCAAAGCTTTCTCAGGGGCTTTCGGCTGCACCCAGGCGAGCTGTGGGAGGGAAGAAGCCCGCAGGGCCGGCTGGTTTTCATAGAATCGTAAAACGGTTTGGGTTGGAAGGGACCTTAAAGATCATCTAGTTCCAGCCTTGTTTTCCTGGCATCCATCTGTGGTTCTGGCCATGACGAGTGCCACCATGGCAAGCCCTTCCCAAAAAGTTATAGAGACCTGTCAGTGGGTCACTGTCCCTTGGAAAATGGGGACCCACGTAGAGAAAAGGGAGGGGGCAACCTGATCTCACCTAAATCCTGATCTACTAAGATGATGGGAGAGGGTTTTCCCCTCCCTGAAAGGGGATGTTGATGGGGGATGTCCAAGCACATCCTACAGCCCTGTGTAGGTTCGTGTGTTCTAAAGAAGGTCACCCCACCTCCTTCTTCTTCTCTGGGGAGGAAAGGCCCTGATACCGCGTTTTGGGAAGGTACGCTTTCCTATTGCTTTGTTTTACAATTAGCCTACTCTTGTGAGAGGGTTTCAGGGGTGGGGTGTGGGATCATTTTCTTTTTGTTACTACCTGAGCTGGTTCTCATTGATTTCTTTAAACAAGGGCCTGGGTGGGTCTTTTTGTTCTGCCTCCAGAGATCCCAGACAGTGTGAGAGATCCCAAGCGAGCAGTTAAATATCCTGGTTTCCAGACTTCCTTGTGCCCACACTCATCTCTGGATGGAATAAAGGTATGCAAAAGTGCATCAGGAAGGAGAGCAGACAAAGTCTCAAAAAAACTTTGTTTTAACTCCACTTCTTGCGAACTACCGACCCCACCCATTCAGAGACTCGTGTTTGAGAAAATATCTGTGCTTTTGCAATATCAGGGAGGGAAATGAAACCCATGAAGCAAAGCATGAATTATGCATGTAGTTTATTGAAGGTACAGCTGAAAGTTTGGAGTAAGCGAAGGATAATCACCTCTGTTCACTTACACATTTGAAGCATTAAATCCGTCTATCTAGTACACACACAGGAAAAACAACGCATGCATTTAACTACAGAAATATAAGGTGCTCTTCGGTGAGTAATTAAAATCTACTCTACCAAACCTGGTGTAGCAACTTGGACCAATTTACATAAACATTACCAACCCTCTCATAAACAGGAAAAATTGGATTTTCTGGTGTCATCAAAGAAGTTAAATAATAGCTGCAGCTCCATCTCAGAAAATTAAAATGCGGCTTCTCTTTCTGAAGTTGGGATGACCAGATTTTTCAT